AATATATTTATTATATTTTTTATTTATATTTTTAAAATATAAGTTAAACAACTCATTTAAAAAGTACAATGATTTTGACCCATGAACAAGCCAGTGGTGGCACCAGTACTTCTCTTATAGCCAAAACTGAGGTTAGAACTAATATTTAGCCTTTCACCTTATAAAATTGGTAAGTTTTAGTTTTTAACCTTATAATATAACACTTTTAGTCTTTTATTTTACAAAATTGATAAATTTTAACATCTTATCTTAGAAAGTTAGTAAGTTTTAACTTCTCACCTTATACTATGATACTTTTAGTCCCTTATCTATATGAATTGAAAAAAATAACTCTCACTTAACATCATGTTATAATATTTTGTTAGTTTTATTAGTTGATTGTAAATTCTATTAACTGATTGTAAATTCTGTTAATTGACTGTTAGTTTTGTTATTGACTGTTAGTTCTGTTAACTAACTGTTAACATCCGTTAACATTCTGTTAATGAAATTAACAAATAAAATTGAATTTAAATTTAATATTTTTTATAATGGAATGCTAACGGATGTTAACAGTAAGTTAACAGAACTAATAGAACGTTATAACTTGATATTATGTAAGGCTTATTTTGTTTAATTCATATAAATGAGCGGTTAAAATGTCATAATATAAGATGAGAGGTTAAAACCTACCAACTTTGCAAGGTGATGGGCTAAACCTACCAACTTTGTAAGGTAAAAAGCTAAAAATATTATATTATAAGTTGAGGGATTAAAACTTATCAACTTTGTAAGGTAAGGCACCAAATGTTAGTTTTTGCCCAAAACGGATGAAAGAGTGTGTACAAGAAAAGTAAAAAAAAATTGAGGAAGACCTGGGAAAGGGAAACAGGACAAGTCCTCTCTCAGAGTGAACGGTAAGTACTGAATAGTAGTCTTGTAACTTTCAAGAACGCTTGTGTATTGCGGATCAATTATAATCATTTATGTATTATTAATATTAAAATAAATATTAATTTTTGCACCAGGCCCTTGAGATCCACTGGCATTAAGTCAGCCGGTGCATTCCTCCTTTCTCTTCGGGCGGGTTCGAAACCCGTCATTTGCAAAAATGTTTAAAAAAAAATAAATATTAATTTTTATAATTTTTTATAATTTAATTATTAAAAAATATATTTATTATATTTTTAATTTATACTTTTAAAATATAAATTAGACAACTCATTCTAAAAGTAAAGTGATTTTGACCCATCAATAGGCAAGTGGTGGCACTCACACTACTCTTGTACCAAAAGCGGATGAAAGAGTGTGTACCAAAAAGAATAATAATTGAGGAAGACTAGGAAAAGAGAAACAGGACAAGTATTCTCTTCACAGCGAACGCTTGTTAACTTCCAGTGAATGCTGAACATTTAAAGGGGATCCTCCTTCAAAAGACCGTCCGTTAGGGGACCAACCTTGTCAATTCTCTTATCCTATCAATAATTGAGAAAAAGTATGTACCAAAAAAAAATAATAATAATAATTGAGGAAGACTTGGGTGAGGGAAACAGAACAAGTCTTTCCCTTCACGGTGAACTGTAAATACTGAATACGCTTGCTCCGGATGATTATAAATAAATAAAAATAAAGAAACAGCGCTTGTTCGGGAAAAAGTTTTTCTATTTTTCAAAAAATTTAAATAAATTTATCTAACATATTTTTATATGTTATTCTAATGTCATAA